TAAGTTCCCTTTGGTAAGCAATGGTGTAGCTTTTATGTCTGGGGCTTTTATTGTGAAAGAGTGAAGTTGTAAATTGCTACCTTTGACAATGTGGGAGGCAATAATAAAGAGTTTGCTGTCTTGGTATGGACTAAGGAACCTCACTGTTAATATTCGATTACCTTCATAAATATGGGTGCAACTCATAACTGTCAGCTGCAATGGTAGTTAGCAGCAGGCTAACGGCAAGTGATCAGTCGATGTCTCATATGGTAGACAGTGCAGCAGGAGTCAGAGCGCTGGGGACTGTCAATGTCACAGCACTGTTTAGATGTATGTAAAACACGTCTGTTGTGTGTTAATGTATGTGTCTGAGTGTGTCTTTGTGTCAACCTCCAACACTGGCAGCAGAGGAACAGCAAAGCAGTGCATCTGTAAATGGCACCAAAACATGGAAGAGATTTAGCATATTACATGACTATTTTTGTACAAACACTTATCAGTTGTTGTGGCAGATAGCTTTCCGAGATTTACTAGCCAAATCAAAAATCTACCTGCATTTGGCAGTTTGTGGGTGTCAATTTCGAACTCTGTATCCCACTGGCTAGCTCATTGCCGCTGCTCTGCATGGCGCTCATACAGTGCTCCTATAGTGGTAACTGCTGATATCAGGATGGCATCGTCCAGGGAAACCTACTTTTTTTTTTGGTTCCAGCTAAGAGACAACTTTTTGGGTGCTGACACAATGTATTTCAAGTCAAAATTCTCTGAACAGATAGAAATTAGGTGCAGGAACCAGAACGGAACCCGTTCCATGTTAGTGAAAAAGGGGTAATAGAGCCTCTGTAATGATATGCAGCTTTTTTACCCTGTGGCATGCTTGAGTGGTCCAGTGTTTTACCTCAATGTCATGTATCTTTGTGTCTGTCTGATTTATCTTTTAGCCAACAAGAGCAATTTTCCTTTGCATTAGTAATGAGGCTATCAGTGCCAATTTAGAAAAGAGAATTAGGCAACTGTCTAAGTACACTGCTGCAATTGTGCAGCTGAATGCAGCTGAAGGGAACAAAACATTTCCCAGTCCAACACCAAAGCATGACTCTCCTTTATCAAAGATCATCCTGACAGGACTACACCATTTTAATAACAGATGGCTCACCCTAGTTATTCCATCATGTCGCCTTGCTCCTCATGTTTCATGCCACTCACTGCTGTCAGATAAAAAAGAAAGATCACATACCGTAAGAAGGAACATAATCTTTAACAGCAACTTATCTATACAGTTTTATGCAATATTTTTCATGTCTCACTCAAAATTAAACACTTGTTCCAATTCACAGATATCTTTGGTTAGTGTGCCAAAAATGTGTTTTCTGGGGGCGTATGCCTGCTGGGGGGTCATGGTTTAAGGGTGCTGGCAGCGTTCACAAAGAATAAATAAAAATGTAGCAGAACATTTGAAAGCAAGCTGAACTTGACTTTAATTGGAGGAAGTGCATTTTAATGGATAATACTGGGACTGTCTTTACATTTTTTATTTGATTTTTGCTAGAAGATCAGGCAACATAAACATACAATTATTCATGTATGGTAAATGTATTTATCCATTTTAGACACACATGTTAAGTTAATGGATATACTGTAAGTCAGGGAGACACAAAGAAGTAAAAGATTGTATAAATTGTTGTTGGCAAGGAGAGAGATGATGAAGCATCTCCAAGTCTTGACACAGTAACAGCTGTGGGGGTTGTAGAAAGAGTTGCAGCTTCCATCTACACTTAAATACATATTTACTGTCTGATTCAATGCTGTCTCTATCATCGTCCTGTGTCTGTGCATCTCCCTTTACTTCTCATAGTCTAAGATGATTCCGTGACACTACAGGTCTTTGGGGAGGTCAGTTTGTTTTGCTCAGACTTTCCATCAGTTTAAAGTTTATCAGTAGCGTATGTGTTGTTGTTAGGGTAGTGAAAAAACGTTGCAGAGAAGGATGTAACATCCCACGTCCCGTCTGGGGCGTCCGGGGGGTTTTTATAAACTGATGATAATGTCCGGTTTTCCGTGTGTTTGTGTGTGTGTTAGAGTGCGGCACGGGCCGCATATTTCTGTCCAAACCCGAACCGAGCCCGACATTATTTAATGACCAAAGCACTGAGTTTGTGTCACACAGTGGTTACAGGCTATTTAACAGGCCGGGCGTGCGCTGTGGGTGCTCAGCGGAGAGGGAGACCTCCATGTTTGAGATGGGAGCGGGCGGCAGGAGGTCCGACGCTTCTAGCGAGAGGAGAGGGAGAAATAAAACAAAATAAGATAAAATAGGAAAAACCTGTCTCCCTCTTTTATTTTATTTTCAGTGTTTAATCAAGGCGGAGGCGGGCGGCTGGAGGTCCGAGACTTCCAGAGAGGGGAGAGGTAGAAACAAACTGCCAATGTGTGTCTGTGTGTGTTATGTTCAGGTGTTGTCACGTAAATAATAGTGCCCAAGCAATAAACAGGACAGACAATAGGATTTTATTTATTTTTACACTACATTTTCACTGAAAGCTGACCGAATCCGACCCGAGCCCGAATATAATTTATACATTTTTGACCAAACCCGGCCCGACCCGTCGGGCTCGGATCGCCACACTCTAGTGTGTGTATGTGTCCCCTATTGGGGCCTATCTGAATTTCTGTCTTTGAGAGATATTATTTTGTAATATAACTGAATTTTCTATCCATACATATAAATTTTATATATATAAAAATTATAAGGTATCTTTGAGTAAACTGCGAGTATCATTTAAGTAGGCTATATCGTGGCCGGACAAAAAAACAAATTTTTGGGAATCAAAATATGGTCACCCTATGCTACCAGTCGCCTCTCTGTCAAATTTGTGTTAAATTTATGCTGTTGTGTCCATTTTGCATGTCTTGGTGGTGCTTTTTGTGGTTGAAGTTGGACGGCGGTGGCATGTGGCTACGAGTCACTCATCAGGATGAGAAAACCAACTCACCAGTCTATAAATTTTCCTTCTGCTGACTTCACTTAGCTAGCTACTAGTTAGCCAGGTTCAGGTTTTCAAATGTAAACATCAGTAAACATCACGGAAAGATGGAAAATATGGCAACAGCTAAACTAACATCCTTCTAGCCATTGTACAGGTATTGGAAATAAACTGGACAACGTCCGTGCTGCATCAGTTTCCAACAGGATATAAGGAACTGCAATATCCTTTGTTTCACTGAAACTTGTCTAAATGTTGGACAGTGCCATTCAACCGGGGGACTCTTTTTCTACATGCTGATCTGACAAAGCAGAGGACTCTGGTGAGAGAAGGAGAGGAAGTCTGTGCTTTAGTGCATAAGGACTAGTGTGACAGTGGGAAAATGAGGTGCTGTCTTGCTCCTGCCGTTAATGACTGCTATACGCCGTTCAGAGGCAGCTGCAGAGTGGTGCCGTGTCAGGGACAAGCAACCATACAGCTGTCTTGTTGAGGTCTGGATGTGTGTGGACAGTTAAATCATTCCGCAACAGAAACCATGGGTTACCCAAACCATCTCGAAACATGTACAATTATAAAGCAGCAGCCAACTATGGAAGAAGACCCACGAAAGGACTAAATGAAAGTGCACAAAGAAGCTAATGGTATCACATTTAATTGGAGTCATACTTTGTATAATTCCATGTAACAAATAAATGACTGATTGATTGAAGGGACAGTTGTACACTGCAGTGAGGAAGTAAAGATGTCTGCTACATTTACAAACCAATAAGTTCTCATTCTTAAAGCCTTTTCCCTGTAAAACCAAACATACTGTATGAAAACACGTCTCATTAAACAGTCCCACCTTTGTCTTTTTGATTGCTTTATCAGTGGCCTCTTCTTTGCCTCATTCTGTTGTGCCACGCCAATGTGTGCTCATTACTGCCCCTTTTGGCTGAAGGGCAAAAAACACCTACTGCAATTACTTTTGGTGGGAAACTCAGTTGTGGCTCATGTTTTTTTTTTTCTTAATCTGCCTTTGACAACCAACACAAAGATGACATAATGATGAAGGGACAGCTGTGGCTCAGAGGTAGCGCGGGCTGTCCACCAATCGGAAGATCAATCCCCGGCTCCTCCAGACAGCAGGTCGAAGCATGCTTGAGCGAGATGCTGAACCCCAAATTTCTCCCAGTGGCTGTTCCATGTGAGGGAGTGTGTTAAAAACTGAGTAGCAGGTGGCAACTTGTGTGGTCGTGAATGGGCCAATGTGACTCATGGTGTAAAAAGCACTTTGAGTGGTCAGGTGACTTAAGAGGCATTATACAAGTGTAGTTCCATTTATTTATGCCTTATAAGTATTGATATTCATGCTAATATTTATTAATTCATCCCCAGCAAGGTGTAGTTAGAATTTATGATAATATATATATTACACTTCAACAACTGATATGAAACAAGCTTTTAAAACATTTTCAGCTCTTTACTCAGTGTCAAGAAGTTGGCAGCCCCATCCCATCTACTGCATGGGAGACAGTCCCAGATGCTTCCCAGAGAAAAACTCTGGGCTGCTCTTGATCAGAGGTGGAGAAGTTAACAAAACATATATTTGCCAAACTAGTCTTCAATAGAAGGTAAAGTAAAAGGCTGAACACTTTTTAAAACTTGTTTCATATTTGTTCTTGAGACATAATATAACTACACCTTGCTGGGCATGGGTCGATTTTAGCACAAGAATATATAACACTTCTGTGGCAGGGAATTCAGCCAGGTTTTAAAATGAATCACACCTCAACTCCATTGACTTTTACTCAAAATAGCAGTGGTGAGAATTTGAGGGTGAATCTCATCACACATTGAGTGTCACCTCATTATGTTTCTCTCTGTCCAGCACTGTTTCTATTCTTCACAAACGAACACATCTATGTGCTTCAACTGGATAGAGCCGTCCCAACTGTCATAACATGGCATCAAAATTCCTCATTAAAGCACATTCCAGACAAGTCAGACAACACCCCAAAAAAAAAAATTCAAATCCAGGGATTATTATCAGAGAATTGCCCCAATCCCAGATCACATTATGCATTAATTAGGAGGCTGCTGTTCATTTAGCCTTTATTGAATATCAATCCTGCATCATCTTTTTTTAATCCTGCTCCAGTTCTGTCAGAGGGCAGAGGAAGGAAAGCAGGGTTGGGGATTCAGATCAGCCAAAAAAAGAAAAAAAAAAGAAAAAGGGAAAAAAACAGAGCTAGGACTGTTTGTGTGATTGACAGAAGCTTCAGCCAATGCCAGCTGAGCAGAGACCGCCCTCCCCCTCCTCTCCCCCCAATCTTGCAGAGTGCTGGTCCCTCTGTGTGCTGTAGTACGTGGAGGAGAGGGAGATCGAATACTGCGTGAGGAGCCATCCTCTGTGTGTGTGTGTGCGCCACCAACTACTACTTGCACTGGATTTAAAGCATCTTCACTACAACCCGCAAGTGGGGATGAAAAGCTAACTGACATTCAGGAAAAAGGCAGACAAAGAGGAAAGAAAGCAAAGTGGGCAGCTCTCTGAAGCCCTGTTGTGGAGAGATACAAAAAGAGCGTCTATAAAACAAAACCAGCAGATCAGAATCAGCTCTGTTTAGGAAGCATGTATAATTCGGTATGTTTCATCATCCTGTCATGGGTGTTTGCTGTGCTTGTCTTCCCAGGTAAGACTTCTTCTATTCCCCCTGTTTCTGTTATTTGTAAGTCTGTGTTTACATCTTTCTGTCTTGTCTGTGGCTCCCCAGCTCCCGTTAGTACAGAGTGGTGCACTGTTGAGACATATAGCCTTATACTCTCTTTTTTTTCCTCCTCATGCTGTCTTTCTCCAAATCATCTGTCAGTGTGACTCTGTGAGGCTTGTTGGGACATCCAAAGATGAGAAGTTTTATCTTAAGTTCATAGAGAAGCTTTCTGTGTTGGTTCAGTCCTGCCAAGGATTCTCCCACAAGGAATGAGGAAAAAGTTCCCTCCACCTCACACACACTTGTCAACTTGTCAGTCTAAAGGAAGATAACATAAAGCTGTAAAGTCAAAGATTTTTTTGCTGGAAATATTAAATCAATCTTTAGCTTGAGTGAATCAATAATTCAATGACAGCTACAGCGTCTTCTGTTTTTCTAAAGCTCAGGAACATCAATAAATCACTACTTGTCAGACATTAATGGAAAATCTATTTTTACTAGCTGCCATTTAAAAGAAATATTGATCAATTCGTCTTAACAGTGTAGGCAGATATTAATAATGATCAAGGATTATGTCAGTGATGAAACAGCATGTGTAATCAACCCAGATGAACATGCATGTAATGGCAGCATTAGCCTTTAACCTTTAGGCTCCCTCACACAGAGGAGAAGACATTCCTGACAGGGAAAACTGGACTTGAGCAGCTTCGCGGTTGCGTCACAGGGGATCCTGGTGTCCTGGAATTATGTTAAATGAGCCTGACGTCTGAAAATGCAAATATGTGCCCAAAGCACCTGAAGTGAGAAAAATAAGATTTCCTCCCTCAAAGGGATTATATGAAGGAGATTATGTGAAGGCATCTGACAGGGGAAGAATGTGATGCATGGGTGTATGCATTTACCTTTTATTCTACCAACCCAGGTTCCAAGTCTTGCAAACAAGTTCTATGAGGGAGCGTAGATACATGTGTTGTGAACAGGTAGGGTAGTGGCAGTGTGTTTATAGACTGTATGGCCAATTAGTTACAATCATATCATTTAGTGAATGTTGGGAGAAAGATAGGAAAATTGGCCTCACATTTGATCTCACTTTCAGAGTTTGTACTCATACCACAAAACAACTGTGTTGCACAGGGTTGGATGTGTTCCACATTGGCCCTCATTACGTCCATGGCAGTCGTTGTATCACACATTACCAGGCTGGACAGGGTATGACAGATTGGCTCTGGTGCCTGATGGTTGTTGCAGCACTGATGAATTTGGCGGGTGGCATTATAGTTAAATCGTGCAAAGATCAATGGCTTTCTTCACCTTCGCTATCAATCTAACACAAGTGCCATGTCTCCATCAGACAGTGGTGGCATTACTGAGCGGTAGGAGTGCACTTATCACCCTGTGAGGTTGGTGTATGTAGGAGGTGTACTCACTCAGGTGAAATTAGAGGTCTTGCACATAGACATGTACAGTGTTAGGGTTGTTAGTGGGAAATAAAGTTCTTTCTTTCATTAAAAAAAAAAAAGTTATTAATTACTTTCCTTATCACTCCTTTAGAAAAGTAATTAGTGACACTACTTGTCTTGTTTTTGCTTTGTAACCAATAATAATTGCATGGAGCTTGCTGTCTTTGGCTATCTTGTTGCCTTGTTGTTTACATTATTAATGTCTGACAACAAACGCACATCACACATGCTCATATCAATTAATATGAAACCTTCACCAAATCCCGACAGATGGCATAATCAAAAGTCATTTGGAAAACCATAGGCCCTGTAAAGCAAACCACAGTTTAGCTTAATTGAACATAAGACCAATGGCAAACGTGCAGTAGGCTGGCTGTAACTCAAAGAGAAATAGTGTGAAACTGACATGACGACAAACACAAATATTCAAAAATAGAATAATTACAATCTTGAGCCACTCAGCTGGGTGTGAAATATCTTGATATTGCATGTTCTGACATCAGCTCTCGCTGTTGTCTCATGTGTTGCCCAATGTGGACCCCCTGCAGTATGTGTACCTCAAACTGCATGTGCACTCGGCATGTAACCAATGTACGTGCAGTTTACCAACTGTACTGTAAATAACCGTTATTTAGTGTTTAATGAACACACCAATGCTTTTTGTATGTGTGGAACTGTCAGTTCTGTGCCCTGAGTAATTATAGTGGCAGTGCTATTGTAAGTAAATCATCAAAAGAAGATGCCTGATTGAGTTTTTATCAGACACAGGAGTCCAAAATGAATCATTAGTTCCCTACTGGAAAAAAAAAAGACATTATGTGCCCATGTTGTCACTTGACAAGAAATAATCACTAAACCAGAAAGAGTCTGGTGTGCATCCTATTCTCAGGCACATGTAATATCCTACGAATTAGCACCCCGTGCATGACGTTATGTACTTAAATACAAAGTCAAGGTTTGGGCAAGTTACTGAGGTTAGGTTTTGGAATAGAAAAATGGTGAGAAAGTACCTGTGACCCAAACACCACCCCAACCTCCCTCATTTTTAGATAGGTTCCTTGTTTATTCTTGTCAGCTCCCAAATACATTGGTTATATACAAATTACTCGTTCATGATTATGTGGGATATATACGAATTTTGGTGCATTACTTTTACGTAGGAAAACGTACGAATGATGCACGGGAACAGCCAGGTAGTGTGATCATCACATATTTCCCAGAGTTCTATGAGTGTTAAAGGAATAGTTTGACATTTTGGGAAATTAGCTTGGTCCAACAATCCTTTAAAGAGGCAACAGATAGGATTCGTTTTTTTTTTTTAGCTTGGCACCACCTAGTTTCAGTAGTGTTGCATCGCACCGTCGCAACGACCAAATTGACCGTGGGGATCAGAGCAAGTCTGAGTTTTGGTGACCAATCCATCCACCCAGACCTCCTCCCTCTGAGGACTGTAAAAATGTCACCTGACTTCCTCCTTTGTTTCCATTATAATCCCTATGGCCACTATAGGGCACTGTCACTTCCTGAAATGACTTATGCACTCAGTCTGGCTTATTGGCTTTCTTGCTGAGAGTTAGATGAGAAGATCGATACAACTGTCCTATTGTATCTGTCTGTTACATATAAAACTACAGCCAGGTTTATAAAGCACATCATCTGGCAACCTCACAATGGCAGTAAGACATCAGGAAGTTATTGCACCTGCCTTTAGATGCGATGGTAGATGGATTTCTTTACCTTAGGGCTGAGTCTGGCCATCTGTTTCCCTTTGTTCACAGTCTTTATGCTAAGCTAAGCTAATCAGCTTCTGGCTCTAGCTACATGCTTAACACACAGACATGAGCATTATACCTAAAAGTCATGGCAAGTAAGAGAAGCATGGCTACGACTGGCTAACTATACATTTAAGTGTTGTAGAAATGAGTAGCCCTTTCGTTTTTGATTATGTTATCATGTGCACTTCTGTCAGATTGTTATCACAGCTATTTTGCATCTTCTCTCTACATGTTGTGATTTTTGCAACATATCTTTATACAACAATTTGTATGATATTCTATGAAAATGCACACACAACAATTCTAATGATATATTACAAATTAGCGCCCCACAAATGATGTTACATACTTGCATACATACATAAAGTTAAGTACTTAAAGGGAAATTTCGGTTTATTTCAACCCATCTCCTGTCATCCTAAATTTGGTTCAAGTGACTAGTGACATACAGATAATAGTTAGCATGTTAGCCGTTAGCCTAGATACAGCCGTAGCGTCAGACCTGTTAAAACATAAGTGAACGGGCATACCTTCAAGTGCAAAGTTAGTCCATTAAACAAGCTTTTTCTCCACAAAGACCACCTCATATCGTTAGGATAAATGTCAGAGAACACATAGAAAACGACATGTAAACGTGTTGTCTTACCTTACCGGTGTGCTGCCATGTTTGTTTATCCCTCTAGCTCTGCTAGAGGCTCAGCCGAAATATATCTCGTGAGCTCTAGATAAAGCCCAGCTGGATACTACTCCAGGTGAAGGTGTCTCGTCCTCGGTCACATCCAGACCTTGAAAATAAGGCTGCAACCACTCCCATTCCTTGCAACAGAGGCATTCCTCTTCTGTGGGCACTGGGGCACAGCATTCACAGGTACACCACCAATCTCCAGAGCTACGCAGCCTTGTGGCAGCCATTCCTCCTCTCTCGTCATTCTAACGTTACCTGTTGTGCCTCTCTCTCTCCTCCTCCTCCTCCGTTCAGGCGACCGTCCGGTCCTGCCTTCCCGCTGTTGCTGCTTGTTCAGGCACACTATGAGATTGTTGCTTGTTCTCGCGATATTTCGGCCGTGCTTTGGGAAGCTGAGCTAAATTGTAAACAAACATGACAGCACACTGGTAAGGTAAGACAACACGTTTACATGTCGTTTTCTATATGTTCTCTGACATTTATCCTAACGATATGAGGTGGTCTTTGTGGAAAAAAAGCTTGTTTAGTGGATTAACTTTGCACTTGAAGTATGCCCGTTCACTTACATTTTAACAGGTCTGATGCTACGGCTGTATCTAGGCTAATGGCTAACATGCTAACTATTATCTGTATGTCACTAGTCACTTGAACCAAATTTAGGATGATAGGAGACGGGTTGAAATAAACCAAAATTTCCCTTTAACGTAAAAGCAAGTAAAGTTGCTAGGGCTAGCCCTTGAAAGTCGGAGATTTGTGTCATCATTCGGGGACCCCTCAGTCGATTGTGATTGCTTCAAGTCGAGCAGTACTTCTGGAGGCGATTTGGTCCCCAGATTTTGCTGCGGAGTGAGCACTCTTGACTTTCATAATACTTTTTAGAACAGACAACTGCAAACACAATGCAGCTGCCTGGAGGAGGAGAGAGACTGCACGGTAAGACTCCAAGATTATCTTCTCTTGTCTGCTTAGAAGTGGCAAATGTACAGCTCACATCACCTTAATAAGACACAGTGTCTGGCTTTTGTTTAGTATCTAGTGTGGGCAAAGAAATTGTTTCACATT